GTATCAGTACCAAGTGCACACAGGCATGCAGAGTTGGGGACCAGCTCCTTGGCCTTTCCTCTTCCTGTGGACAGCACCCTACCAAGGATCTTGCACCCTCACCATAACAGCAACTGTATTCTGTAGTTCTTCCCACCCTCATGGGACCTGCCCCCATGTGTCTCCTGAGCTACAAGCTCCTGGGGCTGCTGCCTACTCAGAGGTGCAGCTGATAGATCCTGGAGCCGTCCGTCCCTCCCGACTCAGACACCCCACCAGACGAGCAGTCTCCTCCCAGAAGCCTGCGTTCGGGACCACGTGGACTCTCCTCAAAGCTTTTGAGTTTTAATTATTTAAACCTGCTCCCTTTTATGTTACTTTACATTCCGTGAGAAGCAGTTATCATGACATGATTAGACACGTAAGAAGTTTATTAGGGGAAATACCTGTGAAGCGAAAGGGCAGGGAGCCAGGAGCCTGGCAGAGCTGGCCGGGCATCATGGAGTTCTGGGCCTGCCTGCAGGAGTGCGGGAAGGAAGGGTGCCTGCCCGGAGGTGTTTAGACTGTAGTGAGGTAACACAGGTTTGTGCAACGGCTGGGGTGGGGTGTGTCCCCCGAGAGCCTGGAAGCCCACTGTCCTCAGTGTGAAACCTCAAGAAGTGGTGAGAACCATAGGTGGGGCCTAGTGAGGGGACATTAGGTCCTGGGGGCCTGTCCTTGGAAGGGATGAAGGTCTAGTGGGACTTTGATTGTTCTCCTGAGAGTGAGCTGTTATAAAAAGACAGGACAGGCTGCCTCTGAGCTTTGGATTCCCAATGCACGGTGACAGTTCTCCCTCACAATGTTCCTGCCATTGTGGCACCATCTTCATGAGGCCTTCAAATAGAGTAGCACAAGCCAGCACCATACCCTTGAACCTCCAGAACTGTGTGTTAAATAAATTTTTTGTTAATGTATCCAGCCTCAGCAATTTCATTATAGTAACAGAAGATAGAGTTGTGTAAGACTGCTAGGGAGTCTTTTCATTTGAAGTTATCTATTGAAGGTTTCCTAGGAATGAGTGAATCTTTGTATCAAGGAATCAAAGGCTGTGGAAATACAATGGTTCCTCTCATAATTACATCCAATATCCTGTTTCAGCCTTTAGCTTTCATTCTTGCAATTTTAGCTTTGACAATTTGGAGATTTTGGTGCTCGAGACCAGGACCCACCAGGAGATATGGGGATTGTTTCATGGAATCAGATTTGATATTGCCACCAGGAAACTATAATAAATGTCTTGTGTTGCTGAATCAAGAGCAAAGGAGGAGATTACTCTCTACTGGCAGGTTTTGAAGAGTATCTTACATGATTTTGCATAATGTTCCTTGTGATACCTTTAATGTTTTCTTATGACGAGCTGGGAATTGCCATATTAGAACCCTCCGGAAGCTGTGTGCTTCCTCATGGTATCAACACTGGGCACTTGAAAGCTTCGTGCCTGGCACCTGTGATGCCAGCCCCAGCACGGAGGCGTCTGCCATGCTTCTCCAAAATAAAGCACTCGTGTTCCTGTCCTTTGTCCTTGGAAGTGAATCACCATGCCTAGCCCCAGATAGGAGGAAGGTACGTAACTTCCATCCTGGAGACAAGTTTCTATTTCATCACTTGGAAGTCTTCTAAGAGAAAAATTTTGTCCTCTTCCTCTTCACCTTTTCCAATAATCTCTCTGGACTCATTTTATTGTTTGGGTTGTAATCCAATGTAAAATTATTGCTGCTTGAACTATTCCAACTTCGACCCTCGTGAACTCTTTTCAGAATGTCCTGTGTCCTTTGGATCTCTCTCATTTTAATATTTATGAGGCTTTAGTTCTTCCTTATTTTGTGGCATTGCAAAATAAGCCAGGCTCCTGTTGAGTTCAGCTGCCCCCATCCTAACCAAGTCAGTATTTCTCCAAAGGATAGTCCCTCTTTATTGAAGAATGGAGTTTAGAAACCGTGTTGGGCGTCTGGGTCACCTTCTTGTTGAGATATCAATGTACATGCACGCACACATTATGTATGTGTGGATTTTTGTACAGATAAAATTTTTATTTAACTATATGTACAATATGTGAAAATATGTATTTGTATCCTTGTACCTATAATTATTATTCTGTTTACATATCTGTATATACTTACATTAACATTAATGTAATTGTATACTGATATTCTTTCACCTATCCACAGGATTTATTCCAAATAGAATTTTTAAAATAGTTCACACAGCTCAGAGTTGAGTAGCATGAATAGTCTATCAGAAATGGGTAAGATTTTTGAAATTTTGAGACTCTTCAATTTGAGAGGAGGATAAAAATATCTTTGTATCTATGAACAACATTGGCTTCTTGAAAGGCAGAATCCTGCAGGATTGTTACTGTTGCAGGGGAATTCCAATGTGCTTAAGTATCAGGCGGGTGCATAATAGAAGATACTGTCTCCAGGTATCTGGGCTGCAGAGCTGGAAATGAGACCTTGCAAATCACCTTTCTAACTGGCTGCCTGTTAGTCTGTGCTCACAGGCACCAGAAGTAGACGCAAAGCTGCAGGAGAGAAGGGGCTGCTCCTTACTGCCGCTTCTGCTGCCTGCCGACAGTCCCCATCCGTGAGCATTAGCCAGCAGTGCTCCTTCACTCTGAGCACTTTCCTCCTCCTCTATTTTGCAATTTTTCTAACAGCTGCAGAGCCACCCAGATCATCCACATCAGCTCCAGACAAAACATGCCCTGTCTTTAGAGGTTTGAATTTCTGTCCACGCTGTTCACCAGCTTCTAAGATCGAATAACTCACAACCTCTCTAAAACCAGGAGCTTTCCACACTTGCTACTCCCTCACAGCCAGTGCTCTTCAGGACCTTGTTAACAACGGAGCACCTAAGCAACAAGTCTTTATATGAAATTACCTGTGCTAAAGGGACTGGGACAAGGCCATTACTGATACAATTTAATATATATTCATGCATTGTTCACTTATATTTTTGAAAAAAATCCTCTTACTATCTGTGGTAACAGGTGACTGGAAATGTATCATGTTTCACAATGCCTTCCTGGTGATGGAATATATTTATAACCAGATACATAATTGGAGAATTTGGCAGTTTCAACATATACTTCTATTTTTTTTTTTTTTTTATCTTGGGGGAAAGCTGTATCTCTGATATTTGGAATTTTATGTATAACATCCTCAAGTCACTTCAAACGATTTAATAGATCCTCCCATCTATTTGAAATCTTTATTATATTTTTCATATCCTGGGAAAGACCTCAAGGTTAGGAGAAAGTGGACTTCTTAGTTCTTAGAGAACTTCTTAATTCTCTAGATGCATTCTGGCTTGATCATTTTCCAAACTGCCTATTTTATAAAAGGAAAATATAAACTAAATCAGTGATTAATTATCAAACTATCATGTCATCCCAACAAGTAACATTTTAAAGAGTTCAACTCTAAATAGTAGCTCTCTTTCCTGTGTCTGTCTCCTCCTCTCTACTTTTCTTTTCAAGTAAACAACCTGAGGAAGAAGAACAGGTAATAAGAATTTCTTACCCTATTTTTTACTTTTCAAGTTATTTGAATTCTTTGTACAACTTGATTATAAATAAACCAATAGCATCATATTGTATGATTGAAATGAAGAGGTTTATTATCAGGAATAGTGCTTTTCAAATACTCATATGCCACCTTATCACCAAATTATCACATAAACCTTTAAATTTCAATTCTCTTTTGCAGAATTGGGGTAACAGTATCTCATAAAAAAGAAAAATAGAATCAGTGAAAAATGTGTAACATAGTTCCTGGTTTAAAGTAAACTTTCAAATAATGAATCCATCTGGTGATTTTTTTTGTGACATGATGTAGGTGATATATTCAACCCCATAAAAATTTGTGGGTTTTGTTTTTAGTTGCATTAATAGTTTGCAAGGGATCTTTCAAAAGCTTATCAAATAATGCATTCACATGTAGTTTTTTTGTTTGTTTTTTAAACTTTGAAAGTCCAAGTCAAGATGCTCTCCTGGCCCACTGTCCTCATAAGCTACCTTAGTAACCAGGGAGGAGGTTGTGTGCCCCATGACTTCCCCCACACACCTATAACCTGGATTACGTAAGTCACTCCTGGCTGGATGTCTGTAAGCCTATTTTAGATTATACTGTCTATTTTGTCATTACATTGGTTTAAGATGCCTGGACAACATCACCAAGAGATTCAGACTCAACCATCATATGTGACACTACCCAAAGGTGCTTGGATAGCAGTCCCCACCGACAACATCAGAGACAGCAGAACTGTTCTCGACTGGCCAGGTCCCCTTCTAGTTATTGTAATTAGTAACTAATTACTAGTAACCAAGATATTTCCTTATGCTCTTCCCAAAAGATCAGTAAACAGCCGATTACCTGAATCCTTTCTGGTCTGCCAATGATCACAGGAAAACTGCATCTAATGTGTGACTGCTGGTGGCAGTTGAGAAGACCCAGTTTTACAGAACATACCTAGTTAATGACAGTCTAGGCTGGGATTTTATTCCACTTGCACTGATGTGTCAGTCAGTTACTATCCCTTGGGACCAGGGAGAACAAAGACTCCTGGGTCAGACAGAGACTTCCCTGTTTCAGGCACAGCAGGTGGCACGAGCCTCAGCAGGTCTGTATCAGTTCTCTCTGTCCTCAGACCCAACAGTGCTGGTGGGGTGGCAGGAAGGCTCCAGATAAACCCAGCTCAAACAGGGGACTTTGATACAGAGCTTAAAATCCGGAGCTGGGGCATACCCCCTCCTTTATGGCACTCAGTGAGCAGCCTTCTTTATCTGGGGCAGAGAGTTCCCCATCCCTTGAGGTAACTTAAAAACCCAGCTCTTCAGTATTCCTGAGGAAAACTGTCAAGGACGCAGCCTCTTGAGCAACATGACCCTGAGAAAGGGCCCAAGTACAGAGGAGGCACAGGCAGCAGGACTCGGAAGCTATCTCCCGACAACCACTCCACTGTCCTGCTTTGCTTCGACTTGCAGCAAAGTTTCCCATGATCCTAGGACTCCATGGGCTACTCTGAGCCATTTAGCTGGGAAAGGCTGCACCAGGTCCATTCAGTTCCACTCAGTGTTTCATTAACAGCAGGAAGAAACCACCCTGCAGTATTGACCTCAACCATGTCCCCGGGATCCCAAACTCAGTCAGTAGGGAATATGTTCTAGGAGGGCCAGTACATCGTATTTTAGGTCTCAGACTGCAACCTAAAGCCAGGTCTGTCATCTACTGTCACCCATACAAGGGACCTGCTACTAATCTGCTCATCTTTAGCACCACTGGCGATAAATGTAAGGGGCCATACATGGACTACAAAGCAAACCCCTTCCTGATCGCTCCTGCCTAATCTCATTTTTCTCTGGATCACCTCTATAAAAGCCTCCTTTTCCTGTGGATGGGCAGAATCGCAGCCTTTGGGACAGTGGGCAGAATTGCAGCTTTTGAGACAGGAGTCCCCTGTGCTTCTCCCTTGCTAGCAAAGCAATAAACCTTTTTTTTTTTTCCTTTTTCTCAAGACCTTGTCTCCATTATTAACTCGGCATCAAGGACAAGGACTGAGCTTTTGGATAGGTCAAACAGTTTTAGAAACAGATGCAAATTTGATTTGTTTTGTGTATCCATCAGGCAAGAGAAACCCAATTTTTGTACTCCAAAGAGGAAAGCTGGGTGACTCATCATTGTTGCCTTCCTTGCACCAGACAGCAAGGCCACTGGAAATGGTGACAGTCTTTAAACACTTGCAGATGGAGCCAATTTTGGACCAGTTATGACTGGTCAATATGCCTGCCAGCGGGTCCAATTGTGCTGTAAGGTGAGTCCTGTCCTTTATTGAGGACATTCTAGTTAAGAAGTTCAGCAACTTCGTCAGGAGTGAGGGTGGTGATGAAGTCTGTAAAGTCTGAAAATTCCCTTTGCTATTCAGAGTTGATTGCAGGAGCTTCACCAAGTCAAAGGCTTTGGGAGAGGGTTGCCTGTCTTTAGCACCATGGCATCTAGCCAAGTCTGTCCTGCAGCTGGAGACCTCGCCCGCCATGCCAAACCTCTGGGTGTGCTGCTCCTGTGACCTAGGGTAGTGAGCTGCTGAACATGGAAAGTCATGGGCTGAGAGAGCAGCATGTCCAAGAGAGCCCAGTTTGGGCCAGCAGAGATCATTCTCCCAGCATATATCATGAAATGGAGGAAGGGGATTTCTTTTATCAGAAGCATGTTTCTCATATCAGAAGCACAAGAGCAACTTGTGTTGTGCTGGTCCAGAGATTCAGGAGGTATGAGAGGTGCTTGCTGGAGCCACCACAGGGAAGGGGCCTCCAGCAAAGGCACAACAAAATGTTTGCTATATTGCAAACTGAACTAATTTTAGGGCCTTTTGGCAAAGACAGACCCATTTAATATAGGTCAACTGGCAAGTAATAGCACAATTAGAGTCCAATAAGATTTGTGAGAAGTGTGTTACCTTCAAATTCCAAACTGGAAGGTCAGGTGAAGCCCTTCAGAAGAATGGGCCACGCTGTTGCTCCACGTCCTGCAGATCCAGCTTTCTAAGAATTTGGTGTGATTCCCAAGGTAGGTAAGGGTGATGTCCCGGATAGAGTATCGGAATTCTCTTAAGGATTTTTAACAGAAAAACGTATGTGGTATTCACCTAGTTGCAAGACGCAGAAGAATATTTCAACCATTTGCAGAATTTTATATAATACAGTGTGCATTAAATGGCCTATATATTTTAATAGCTTACATATTACACATACTACTAAGTTACACATAAATAATTTGTTATATGGTCTCTTTATGTCTCACTGCTTGGCTAGCAAAGAGGACACACCAGGGATCCTGCCCCAGAGCCTGTGATTCCGCCCATCACGGGGCAGAAGGGGCTATTACCTCTCAGAACCGGCCTAGAACTCTAGCTTATCTCACATCTGCAAACTGAAGCAGGAAAAAGAAAAGCCTGGGGCAGGAAAGAGTCCAGGGAAAGCACAGTGATCAAGGATGATGTTTGTCCCTCAGATTTCAGCTGGTGACTTCTCCATTCAAGAATCTCCCCCTCTTCCTAGTACAGGGAAGGAAACAGGCTTCCTACAGAGAAGCTTCCTTTGTAGATGTAAATTTCCAGTATTTACAAAAAGGAAACTCCTTTTCTGCTTTTAGAGCCTTTCCTGTGTCTGTGGTTTTTCTAGCTGTTCAAAATACCCCTTCTGCCAAAGAGACATGTCTTGGGGGTGTAATATTCCAATCTCCTACATGTACGTTATTCAAGTACTCCAATTCCAAAGTTAGGTAATGTGCTAAGCATTTGAAAACTACTTCTGTTCAAACTACTCAGAATTAAAATGGAATTTAGATATATAAAGTGGAAATCATTATCTCTCTCAAAACAAAATGATAAACCAATAATACTTATAACTAATGCTTCACTGTATCTTAACATGCTTGTTCTAATTTTCAGGTAGAAATTTTGCAAAGCGTTTTGCACAGGCTGAATTTCAGGCAATAATTAAGGAAATCTGGAGTTAGCACAGGTCAGTCCTTACAACAGTTTGATCAGGAGCTTAGATCTTTGATCATCAGCAAGCTCCAAGATACTCTATGACTAACTCCCCTTGCCAGTTTTATGCCTCTTTAACATATTGAGCCTCTGCTCTCTTCCCTTCCCTTTATGACTTAAAAAAAAGTGTCAAGTAATACAGAATGTTTCTGCTCCCTGTCTGCATTCTGAGCTGTCTACGCTATAGAGCTGTCTATTACAATCAATTCTTCGCCTTGTTCTCAGCTGCATTCCCAACTCCTGAGGTCTGGTATACAGGAAGTAATCAATAAGAGCTGTCTGTCGACCTCCTCCGTCTAGACTTCCTCCTAATACCTGTAGCATCCCCAACCTGCCAACATCAGCATCTCACCAATTTCAGTCCCAACACTATCATTCCACTCCGCCTCCCCTTTAGTGAAAACATCTGGCTGCTCAGCCTCAGCAGTGCCACAGTGAGAATTCAATAGAATCTTTGGGTGAGTTTTGCCAAAACTATATCATCATTATCACATTAGCACTTTTTTAAATGCGAACTTTATATCAGTATTCCACGCTGGTTTTCTGTTTATTTTCACAACATTTAAGGACTCCCTAAATAATATATGCATTTTGTTAATTTCTAATAATTGTTGAAAATAACATTCAAAATAAAAGATCGTTTCTTACATTTTTAAATATAAAAGCGGGGCTGGGGATGTGGCTCAAGCAGTAGCGCGCTCACCTGGCATGCGTGCGGTCCAGGTTCAATCCTCAGCACCCCATACAAAGATGTTGTGTCTGCCGAGAACTGAAAAATAAATACTAAAAAATTCTCCCTCTCAATCTCTCTCCTCTCTTAAAAAAATATACATATAAAAGCAAATTCTATAATAAAAAGAGTAATGTATACATGTATTTCACATGACAGCCAGCTGCAATATGACAAGGGTACAGAAAATATAACTAGACATTAATGCAGGCAGGGCAGTTTCGTATTTGTGCGGCCTGTGGGTCATATTGATCCCAGTCCTGTTTTACTGCTCTACTGGGACTCTTCTGAAATCCTTATCATTTTGAAATGGAGGTCTGCATTCTTATTTTCCACTGAGCCCTGCAAATTACGTAGCACGTTCCAAATGTGGGGGGGGGGGGGGGCAATTTATTGGCTTAATACAAATTAGTAAACAAGATCAAAGTCAAACACACATAGCATATACCTTAATGCATGGGAAGCTTTTGTCACAATTCTTAAAGACCTGAATGTTCACTTCAACTTGAAAGACAGGTACTCTGTATTTCCACTTTCCAGCCCAAATTGTAATTATGGGAACAATTACCTCCTTAAACTTTATCTAACGTAAAAATAATCTTGTAAGAACTGATTGTAGGGTGAAAACCCACTGTGCAGTGGAGATATGCTGGTGTAGTGGATGAGTAGACTTGAGTCCTAATTCACCAGGGTCTACTTTCAGTGTGAGTCTTTGGTGGGGCCCAGTGAAAGTCATTCTCATTTGACTTACTCTATATTTGCGTACTATCAGTGTTCCTTAGGACAAAAGTGACCAAAGGACTAGTATAGGTAATATCTGAACAATTCCTCCAAACCAATGAAATTTGGTCAATAATTTAACCGAAAACGTAACAGTGGCTTCTGCCTTGGACATCGTCTTTGAAGAGTTGCTTCCCATCCCTTTGCCTGGCATTCTAAATTCTAAAGAAAAGCCAAAGCTTAATGATTAAGGCATTAACTGTCAAATTTTTCTTTAGATTCACAGAACCCAGAACATCTGGTGACTTTCAGATAACAGCAGAATGCCTCTCCTTAAGTCTATGCATAAACTAGCACAAAGCATGGAAATAGTTGGATAATGAACTTGCAGAAAAGTAACACATTTGACACTAGCCCCAGGAGGTCAAGGCCACTGAGAATGCTGTGGCTGGGGGCCAGGCAGGGGTTGGAGGGCACTGCTCATCACATAGCCTTTCTGCCTATTATTCTACTCCTCCTCCTTTCCATCCCTGTAAAAATCCATATACCTGCCTGAGGTCCCTGAAGTTGCACTTTGAAGATTGGATTTTCATCTCCCAAAGAATTGAGAAACACACACAAGTACAGATTCATTGAAAGCGGTGGTGAGGGTAGCACTATATAAGGTAGAAGTGGGCTAAGCAAGAGAGAGACTCAAGGCCCTGATATCTGGAAATCAGAGTCTTATACGCTGAGCAGTGAGATGTTCTCTTTTCTGTAAGAGTGGGATTGAAGACTCTATGCCATTTGCTCTCATTGGTTACCTTATGATACCAGATTAGAATACAGTTGAATTATTCCATTAGTTCCCTTAGAAAACCTAATTAGAATACGTCTTGTGCTCCAGCAGCATCCTTAGACCCTGCCCTCTACCTTCTTGGCATCCCTGAACTCCTACCTAACAAGATGGGATCCCCTCCACCTTCTTATAGCCCTCAAATAAACCTACCTCCCACCACTAACTCTCATCTCCCAGGTCCTGGTTTCACATGGAAAGCAGCTGGATCTGGGTCCAGCAAAAATTAGATAATTTTGGGAATAGCTAATAGTCATGAAAAAAAAAAGTACTTAAATGCTTACCCCAAACACTAATAAGTCGTGCACATCAAAGTCACAATGAAATAGCATTTTAATCCCATCAAAGCCTACCTTATAGCAAGGCTCAGAGGTGAGCCAGTGATTCAGGAGGCTGAGGCATGAGGATCTCAAGTTCAAGGCCAGCTGGGGCAACTTAGACTCTGTCTCCAAATAAAAGAATAAAAAGAACTAGAACCGAAATTCAGCGATAAAGGGCCTCTGGGCTTGATCCCCAGTACAATCACCAATCAAATCCTATCTTACCCACAGTTTCAATTTCTGGTTTAAGTTATGCGTGGTCAAGTGCAACCTGAAAATATTAAATAGAAAATTCCAACAGTAAACACTTGGTAGGTTTTAAATTGCACATCATTGTGAGTAGCATAATGAATCGCGCCACCCTCCCTACCTCGCCCTGTTAGTCAGTATCCCCACACTCCGTTTCTCTTCGTGGTCATTTAGGTTCTCAGATTGACAGTATCGCAGTGCCTTTGTTCATTTCATTTAGTAATTGCCACAAAACACAAGATTAAGCATTGTATAAAAATTTCATGACAACAGAATTACAGTACATTGTTATAACCATTCTATAATATTTTTATTGTTAATCTTACTATGTCTAATTCATAAATTCAACTACCATAGGCATACTCAGGTGTGTGTATGTGTGTAGTATATATAAGTAGTACACGTAGGGGTTGGTACCACCCATGCTTTCAGATATGCACTGGGCTTCTTAAACTATGTCCCCCAGGATCAAGGGGGGACTGTTGTATGAAAAATTAAATTTGAGAATACAACTTACCAGCAACTTTTCAATCCTTGGGGGTATAAACTAGTGAAAGTATTTGGAGAACAGTTTCACACTATCTGGTAAATCTGAAGGGGCTGAAGTGTAATGGAATAATTCCACCTCCAGTTTTATGACCTAGAGAAACTCTCACACATCTGTACAAGCAGTTATGTGTGAATCTTCATTCTGCATCTTTTGTAATAAGGAAAAAAACTTAGTGTTCCTAATTAAGAAAATGAATGACTTGTATTACAGTCATATTACATAGCAACTAAAATAAATTAGAATGACACCGACCAGCTAGGATGCGTTTTTAAAAACGGCATAAATGAAAGAAGCAAATTTCAAAATAATTAGTGTGAAAAATGTATGGAATTTTTTTTTAAAACAAAAAGGCAATGTTATTAATGTTTGTTAATATCTAACATGCATAATACGAACAAAAACATGAGAGCAATGATACCAACTTGAGGGCAATGACTATATTCAGGAGACAGGGGGATCAAGGAAGGGGAGAAAGGGACTCAACTTTATCTGACATTTTATTAAAAGCATACCCCATAAGGACATGGCAAAATATCAATGTAGTAAATTTGGAGAGCATGATTAAATGAGCATTTGTTATTTTATTACTTTGGCTATGTCTGAAATCTTGTTTCCAACAAGAGGAAAAGGAATTAAGCAGCCAGTTTTCGGGGAGCTGGGTGTGCACCATCTCGCTGCTGAGATGCAGGGTCTGCTGTATAAATTATCTGGGGCTTTTACTTGAGTTGTGCCTCATTAGCAATCATCTCTAGCACCAATTAGAAAAATTGAATCTCCATACGAAATTACATGGTCTGCAATTAAGCAGCGCCTGGCTGCCAGTGGGAGGGCCGCTCCTTCCAAGCCAGAGCTCCGCGCTCCGCGCTCCAGGAAAGGGAGAGGGCGCTGGACCCAGGGCGTCACAGGCACCGCGGGCGCCCTGCGTGCTTCCCTCCCCTTGCTCGGTTCCTCTGAAATCGGTTTCCCAGGCTTTCGGTGAAGGGGAGAATTGTCCTATGTCATTCCTCCTGACAGCCTGGCTCCCGCTGCACGAGATGTGCCAGGGATTACTGTTCGTGGGGACCCTCCAAGGGTGAGCCTATGACAGCTCTGGCACCTGGCAGCCGTCACTCTCATTCCTCCCAAGGTGAGCGATCCCGTGAGTCAGAGGTGCCGGAAATGCTCTGCTGCGGACTCGCTGGGCACGCATTCGGGACAGCAGCGTCTCGGGGCACATTTAATGGCAGACTATATATGCTTCCATGTAGAGGAAAAAACTTCCGAGGCCGATTCCCACGTCAGCAGGTTGAGAGGACAGCCAGCCCACTTCATCTGCTTCTGTTCTAATTTAAGAACATCTCGGGGACAATTTTATCTGCAGGGAGAGGAACGTGTTTAAATATAGATACACGATTTCAGACCATTCAGAACAAAGACGGCCCACATTCCCACACTGCTGCCAGCATGCATGCCTGGACACACACTGGTCCTTCTGCATTTAGAGATGTCTGTCCTTCCGCATCAGTTAAACTGTCTTAGTTACTGTCCTCATTTATAAAACACGTCCACGACACACACAGTGATGCTGGACTTCCGCTAAGCCACTTACAGCACAAGCTGATAAGGTGTTAATGGTAAAAACAGGACCTTCCGGGGGTAACAGGGGTTTCTAGATGGACCTATCGTTTCACTGAGCAATTACTTTCACAGTAAGTGCTTCACGCATCTATTTGGCATCTTATGATAGACTACTATCAACTAGAGTGACAGAGTGCTTTCTTTGAAAGAAACAGACACCCGGTAATAACGACATATGTAAGGGACATAATTACGGCTCTAACCTTAATTTGGGTTTATAATTATCTAAGATAATTTGATCAAATCAAAGACTATCCACTGGTTAGTCTGGTAGGGCCACTGCTCCATGTCCGAGATGTCCATGGAGGATTCTGCGACTCAGCCCACCTCTCCCCTCTTTTCACTCCTGTCCAATAGAGAGGGAATTGATCTGCTGGGGTCTGGGATCTGCAGAGCCTCCGCTCCTGGGTTCTCCCTGGGCGGTGCCAGATGCTCGCACACCTGTTCTTCCATGCAGTGAGCCCATGAGGTATGGTGGGGACTGAGGAGCCTGGCCTGAGGGTCTGGGCTGGTCCATGTAATCCAAGGGGGACATGCAAGACTCTAACACAGCCACAGGTTGAGCGGACTTCCCTCATTCCAGGTTCAAAAGCCACAAAGCAGATGGGCTGCTCTTGGTCTCCCTGACTTCAGCACCCAGTTCCCACTGGGTCTGAGTTGGAGAATACCCACTTTATTTCCCTTTTCAGTTCAACCAGGAAATTTTGAGAAAAATGAAAGTATCCTTTGGAGACTGTAACGACACAGCCAGAGGCTACGTTTCCAGGTGGGACCATGGCAGGCTGTTTGGGGGCTTCAGTGATAGTGGGGTTTGACTCCTGGGACCTTCGTAGCTCATTGGCTCACTATGGCTGGCACAGTGCCAGGCCTGGGGGGTAGCAAGTCGGCGGGAGGGGATGGGCCTCAGCATCCACTCCAGCAGCAGACGCAGCGTGGGCAGGACTGAGACTGCATAGGAAGCCTTACCTGGCTGCTCACTGCTGATCCAATGACCCTCCACACACTCATAGCTGCTCACACTGGCTCCTCTCTGTACCTTGGGCACACGGAGTTCATCGCTATCGCAGGATTTCTGCAGTTGCCGTTTCCTTCTCTGAATCAGGTTTCTGAAAATAATTGTAAGGCCTAGCTTTCTGGCTTCATCCAAGTCTGTCCTCAAAGGCCATATTCCAAGAGAGATTTTTTTCTTTTCTTTCGAGACACCTTGTGCCAGAGTCAGCACAGGATTCTCACTTGGCTTTCACCCTTTCCTATTTAACCACATTAGTATCAATTTAAGTGTCTAAATTTAAGTTACCGTGTGTATGTGTCACCTGTCTCACTAGAACACAAGGCCTGAGAGGACAGAAGCTATGACCTTGATGACTCTTGATCCAAAGCTTTAGCATAGTACGCGTTCAATTAAAAAAAAAAGTCCTTTTAATGAAATCAAGTTTTTAAATATTTGTTCATTTCTCCTCTTCTGACAGTAGTCAAAACACATTGTTCAAAACCAATTCATTTTTTGCTCCAAACTGATTCCTGCAGCTTCAAACCTTTTTCAGTAATTTTTTGGCCTTGAATTAATGTTTTCTTGCTGTACTTCCGTCTCCCGCCAAAATATTTGCTGTATAGCAAGATGTCTCTCCCTTCCTTATTCAATCATAAGATGAACCCCTTGTTCATGAGTGAGACCGTAATCAGATCCTCCAACATCAAAAACCGTGGATCATAGATTACATGACTAATAAATCAGTAAGTGTCTGGCCCAGATTGGGAGAGTGTAGGGACCAGCCAGGTGACCAAGGGAGCCCAGATCCCTTCTCCTGGACCTTCATGTGGTCTAGGAATTAAAAACCTGGACAAGCTAGACTTCTGGTTCCCAACACTCAGGAACACTTAGTGTTCTGAACAGTCAGTATTGTAGCGGGTTTTGATCTCTAGAGTCCCAAGTAGCGGAAGAACGAGAAGCACCCTACCCACCAGCGCCCCAGAGCCCAGGTGCTCAGATGCTTCCCATTTTGAATTGAGGCTTTACTGTGATCTCAGCCTTGTTGGGCCACACACATCTGTGAAGTTCAAGGTTAACCAGAGCTGCCTATGCACAAAGGACAAGGTATCTCACAGAGGATTATGACAACTTAGTAAAGGATACACAGTTGTACCAGTGCAACCTGAGCTGCTGTAAGGGAAAGCAGCCAGATGACCTGCACATCACCAGGAGCGCACCTGACTTTCAATGCTCTTACCCTGGCCCCAGTGGAAGCCACAATCTCCCTGTGAGCTGCTGGCCCCAAACTCCAGGGCTCCACCAATGCACTGGAGCTGTGTGGGGTCATATCCATAACCATCCACCCTTCTCCTTCTGATTCCTGAACCAACCCTGAAACCAGACATGTAATAGAAATGAGATCTCTTATCAACTTTGTTGTAAGTGAGGTTAAATTAAGAGAATGAACATTAGAACAAAAGACTTAAACAGGCTTCCCTCTCTGAACCAGGTCTACCTCCCTCACGCCACCTCTCTGGTTAGCAGCCATGGAATCAGAAAGCATTTAAAGTTATTTAGATGAGGTCAAATAAAGGCACTATTTAGGAATGTGTGGACAGGGCATAAGAATGGAGCTCCCATATGCTGACTGCAGAAGAGTGCCGTCTCTAGGTACAAATTCTGAAGAACAGAGCGGCATAGAGGGACCTCTGGAGGGGAGAAGGGCAGCCCTGCAGGACAAAGTGACCAACACCTTGAACTCGGTGTCTGCTTCTGTTGGATCTTCGGCCAGGACCCCCCATTGGGGGTCCCAGAAGCCAGGGAAAGGAAAAACTTGATATTGCCAGCCAGGTCAGCCTCTGGGGGACATGAGGTTGACAAGGAGCAGGAAGGGGGAGTGGGCGGGGACAGAAGACACAAGACCACCTGGCAAGCGTGCCCCACAGATGAGTTGCGAAGGGCACCCCCTGAGTGCAGGCTTGAGACTGAGGCAGCGTCACCCTGAGTCTCCTCCTCAGTCTCTCCCAGCTTCCCAGAGATGAGAGCGCACGGATTTCATGGCCCCTTCGGCCTGCATGGTGGGACTTCCCGCCCACTGTGGAGGGAGACAAGTGAGCCATGGGCATCCTCCCCAGTGTTCACCAGTGGACCCACACATTCTCACTGGGTACACGAGAGCTTCCTTGTCCCCCGAGTTGGAGAGTCACACACCTGGAGTGCAGAACCTTGACGGTCAGCTTCCATGAGAAAGAAGCAACTGTCCGAGTCAGCTGTGCAGATCTTGGCAAAGCGTTTCCCCGATACTCCTTTGAGACCTCCTGATTCTAAACAAGGAGAGGACCCATCTCAAGGCGATGGCCAGGAAGAAAGAAGCCAGCCTGCGAGGAAGCCCCACTGAGGGTCTCCCTTTGGAGACCCTCCTTTGCACATAGCTGACCTCAGGACACATCCCTCTTCTGACCTCCTGAAGGTCAGCTCCTAGGGCAGCGCAGCACCCACAGTGGGCAAGGGCTGCAGCTGTGGGCAGTGGAATGCGGGGAGGGGCGTTGGCAGTGGAACCAGACAGGTGGCCAGCCCAGCTAGTCCAGCCACAGAAGATGCACAGGAGTAGCTGATATTAACTCCCTTGTGTCCAAGGCCTGAAGGTTTCTTTGCTGGTTGAAAGCACAGAGGACAGGAGGTCTGTCCCAGCCTTTACTCATCTCACTACTGCAAGTTCCTTGGCCGCCTCCGGTGCTGAGCTACAGCTTGTGGAGATTGTTTTTTAAGAAGAAATGCTGTCAGTCTGCAGCGTTCTCCCCTCCAGCACCACGCCACCCAGGTGCATGATCCCACTACTCTTGTTCTTGACTTCTATGGCGGGGACCAGGGGCAGGGAAATGGAGGCAAAACCACTGTTTATAGGAAACATCCACTGAAGGCTTATGGAGAAAGAGGGAGTTATAGCTCCAAAGCATAAATTAAAATTTAGTAGTACATTAAGTATATTAAGCACGTTAAATTTTAATATTAAAGTAACTATGCTTAAACTTCTTCAGCCATTACCAACCATGAATGTCTATAGCTTTACTGGTATTTGGGACCTTCGTGTACACATCATCCTTTTTAGAAAGTGCTGCGTTCCTTCTTTTAATCTTAAACTAAATTCTTTGCATTTTGTCAAATGTAACAATTCAGCACTTGCTTTTATTTTGCCCATTCCTTCTACAATTTGCATTTAGTTGGACCAAAGTATTTTCCTTTAGGAAAATATTTCCAGAAAAAATTCTGATGCCAATTAAAAAAAAAGTGATATTAGCTCTAAAGTCTTTGAAAACCTACTACATGCTACAGAACCTCTGAGTTCATGGATTTCGTCTGTGAATAAAGCTTTTAAGTGATAAACTTGGAATTTGAAAAACATTAATTCCTAGGTCTTGTCGATATGATGGTTGTGTTTCAGAGAAGTCGTGGAACGTTATTTAGCCATCTGGCTATGAGCATGGCAAAACACCACCAACCCAAAATCTCTAAAGTTTAAAAAATTAAAAATACTGCAC